GTTGTGGAAGCTTCATCCCTGGAAACTTTTCAAGGAAAGACTGGACTGCCACCTGTCAGAAATGGTATTAGGCTCTGCTGCTTGGGCCAGGGGTTGGACTAGATGACCTACAAGGTCCCTTCCAACTCCGTTCATCTGTATCTGTACTTTCTTTGGATTGGGGTCTTAAGAGGGTTTCCCATTGCAAGAGCCTGAAAGAAGCAGGCAATCTGTTTCACCAGCCAAGTCCTTCGGCGCTTCGAAGTTCCCTTTCTTTTTCCTTTTTTTGCTATTTCTTTTGGTCTCAGCCCTTCCACGAATTCAGACTTCGATCCCTTCTTTATTATTCCGCCCGTCCTTATCAAAACATCGACACCCTGACAACCTGCTGGGGTCAAACTGGAGCTCCTGAAGGCCCTTGGACTCAACCCGAAAGACCAGCTTCCAGGGCCATCTTTGATCTCAGAGTTTAAAAAGACAAACCCGCAAAATATTACGGGAGATTTATGGCTGAACTTCTCCACTCCAAAGGATTTCACACCTAAAACAACAGGCTGGGATGTGCCAGAAAGGGAGAAAAACTGTTTAGGTTTGCCTGCTTTGTAGAATCTGATACACCCGGGGTTTCTTTTGAGACAGATTTGCACTCTTTCCAAACAAGCCTTTCGCCTTTTACACCACTGCCCGGGCAGGCAATTCGAGAGAATTAATTTATGCAAAGCTATTCAACTTTCTCTACTGCCCCCACCTCAGAGCACTGAGCCTTATATATGCCAGATTTCCTATAAGTCACTATATATATATATATATATTGTGGCGACCAAAATTGAATGCATATATAAAGATGTTGAGACTCTGGAAAGAGTGCAGAGAAGAGCAATAAAGATGATTAGGGAACTGGAGGATAAAACATGAAGAACAGTTGCAGGAACTGGGTATACCTAGTCTAATGAAAAGAAGGACTAGGGGAGACAAGTTAGCAGTGGTCCAATATCTCAGGGGCTGCCACAAAGAAGAGGGGGTCAAGCTATTCTCCAAAGCCCCCGAGGGCAGGACAACAACGGGTGGAAACTAATCAAGGAGAGAAGCAACCTAGAACTAAGGAGAAATTTCCAGGCAGTGGGAACAATGAACCAGTGAAGGAGAAGAATTAGAGAATAGAATAGAATAGAATAGAATAGAATTAGGAAATAGAATAGAATCGAATAATAGAATCGAATCAGAGAATCGAATTAAAGAATTGAATTAGAGAATAGAATAAGAGAATAGAATAGAACAGAATTAGAGAATAGAATAAAATTAGGAAATAGAATAGAATCGAATAATAGAATCGAATCAGAGAATCGAATTAAAGAATTGAATTAGAGAATAGAATAAGAGAATAGAATAGAATTAGAGAACAGAATAGAATTAGAGAATAGAATAAAATTAGAAAATAGAATAGAATAGAATAGAATAGAATGAGAGAGAGAGAGAGAGAGACTTTTAGCTTCATGCAAGGAAAGCAGCAGGAGCCGCAGAAGTCTTTCTTTCTCTCCCCCAAACTCCGCCAGAAACGAGTCTTTGCCGGCGCAGCCTCTTGGAGCAGGAGGCCTTGCAGGGTCCCAAACATTCAGTTCTGGCGGAGTTTGGGGGAGAGAAAGAAAGACTTTGGCTGCTTTCCTTGCGTGCAGCCAGAAGCAGAAGAAGAAAGAAGTGGAAAGAAGCAGCCCGGTGACCAGGCCAGGTGTGTGGGGTGAGTGGGGCAAGTTCCTCCCCCTCCACCCCCCCCTTCCCCTCACTACCTTGTGTTGTTCACAATGCAAGCGACGACGCAAGCCTTATGTTTTCCTGGGCCGTGTGGGAGGTACAGCCTTGTGTTCCCACGCAGCCTGGATTAATTGATTTGGGGGGGACACTTTTCTGCAGACCACCAAAATTTTCTCATGGACCACCAGTGGTTTCTGACCCACTGGTTGGTGACCACTGAATTAGAGAATAGAATTAGAGGATAGAATTACAGGATAGAATTAGAGGATAGAATTAGAGGATAGAATAGAATTAGGGAATAGAATTAGAGAATAGAATAGTGAATAGAGCACTGGAAGTTTTTAAGAAGAGACTGGACAGCCATTTGTCTGGAATAGTATACAGTGTCCTGCTTGAGCAGGGGGCTGGACTAGAAGACCTCCAAGGTCCCTTCCGACTCTTGTTCTTCTGTTAAGCCAGGGCTTTAATGCTACATGGCTGCAGTCCCTTCTTTCTTTCCCCAGAGACACATTGGTGAAAGAATAAATTATCTACTTAGAGGAATTCGTGCTTTGACAATGTTTTGGGGTACTTTTGCTTACTAATCCTTTACTTTTGCACCGTGGAATGAGAAGGCCGCTCGTTTACACTTTTGCCAAAGAACCGTAGGTTAGGGTTTTGCTTTTAAGCCAGCCAGGGATTATAGGATTTGAAGTGCAAAATATCCAGAATGCATCAGGTCAAGAAGAAAAATGACAAACCTTTGCTGCCAATTTGCCAGGTGCAGAATTAATCGTAATCCATGCTTTAATTTTACGAGAGGATGCCATACATTTCCTACACAGGTTGTAGCCCTCGACTTACAACAGGACATTTAGTGACCGTTCGGCCCTGAGAAAAAATATTACTTAGGACAGTTGTTCACACTTACGACTGCTGCAGCCTCCCCCATGGTCACAGAATGAGACGCACCGACTTCTGTTTATGATGGCCACTGTGTCCTGTGAGGGGGTGTGTCATGCGATCCCCTCTGGCGACCTCCTGACGAGCAAAATCCATGGGGAAGCCAGATTCACTGAACGACGGTGTTGCTCACTTAACAACTGCAGCGATTTGCTTAACAGCGGTGGCAAGAAAGGTTGCACAAACAGGGCAAAACTCACCGAATTGTCTCGCTGAGCAACAGAAATGCTGGGCTCCATAATTATATAATCAGAGTTGGAAGGGACCTTGTAGGTCATCTAGTCCAGCCCCCCGCCCAAGCGGGAGACCCTACACCATTTCTGACCGATGGCAGTCCAATCTCTTCTTGAAAGTGTCAAGTGATGGCGCTCCCACAACTTCCGAGGGCAACTTCTGTTCCATGGGTGGATTGTTCTCCCTGTCAGAAAGTTTCTCCTTATCTTCAGGTTGAATCTCTCCTTGATCAGTTTCCATCCATTGTTTCTGGTGCTTTAGAAAATAACTTAGAATAAAACAGATTAATAGCATTGGAAGGGACTTTGGAGGTCATCTAGTCCAACCCCCCCGCCCAAGCAGGAGACTCTACACCATTTCTGACAGATGGCAGTCCAGTCTCTTCTTGAAAGCTTCCAGGGATGAAACTCCCACACTTTCTGAAGGCAACTTCTGTTCCGTGGGGTTGATTGTTCTGTCAGGAAAAATTCTTCCTTGTTGAATTCCAAGTTGAATCTCTCCTTGTTCAGTTTCCATCCACTGTTCCTTATCTGGGCCTTCGGGTGCTTTGGAAAATAGCTTGACCCCCTTCCTCCTCCTCTCTGTGGCAGCCCCACGGCTGTATGTGGAGGACTACCTGAATACATTTGCCTGTGCTACATTCTGAGTTCATATCCAGGAGAAATCAGTGCAGGAATGCAGGATAGCTCACCCGTTGAAGATGTTTAGATTAACCCGGCGGCCATTTTAAAAATCGCCTTTAAATGCCGAGGTTTCCAAGCGATGCTAATTGAAGGCCGTTTAAAATGAGCTAAAAAACGTCGCTAAAATGTCGTTTCGCTTAATGATCTTCCCCCGAGCGGCTTCAACAAGCCCCAGCCGCTCGGTCGCTACATGGTTAAGGGTGGAAAAGGAGGGGCACCCCCTCTCCATTCCACCCCCCCCCCCCCCAAAATAAGCAATCAATGGGAGAATGGAGTTATGGAATATTGGCACCAACGCTCCCCCCAAAAAAGGAAGATCTGTCAATCAACAGGAAAAGACAGCCAATAATATTGGAACTTGCAGGCCCTGGCAAAGGAAGGGAAATGGGAGGGAATGGTCAGATCGGGAAAGAGGAGAAATTGCCAAGGCTTGTGAAGAGCCAGGAAGGATTATTCTGGAATATTATTGGGGATGGGATTCGTGTGTGTGTGTGGTGTGTGGTGTGCCTTAAGCAAATGGCATGAGATTTTAAGTTTGGCCTTCAGAAGGAGAAAATACAATGGAAAGTAAGAAGAGTTACGGGCTACTCATCCCAAGCAGCTTAAATTTAGGAATAAATGTACAGATTCACAAAGTTGGAAGGGACCTTGTAGGTCATCTAGTCCAACCTCCCACCCAAGCAGGAGACCCTACACCATTTCTGACAGATAGCAATCCAGTCTCTTCTTGAAGGCTTCCAGGGATGAAGCCCCCACAACTTCTGAAGGCAAGTCATGGCACTGCATATAGATTAACAGAGTTGGAAGGGACCTTGTAGGTCATCTAGTCCAACCCACCGCCCAAGCGGGAATCCCTACACCGTTTCTGACAGATCTCTTCTCTTCTTGAAAGCCTCCAGACATGAAGCTCCTTCAACTTCCAAAGCTGAATAAAGGAAATGCATGAAAAGAAGATCACCGGAGAACGAGTCCTTCTCCACTAGTACAGGCAGTCTTCGGCTTACAGCAGTTCGTTTAGTGACCGTTTGAAGTTACAACGGGGACTGAAAAAAAAAGTGACTTGTGAGCGTTTTTCACACTTACGACCACTGCAGCCACCCCCGTGGTCACACGATCAAAAATTCAGACGCAACCCGACTCGTAATTATGACGGTCGCAGAGTCCTTCTGAGGAACAAAAATCAATGAGAAAGCCAGGTTCACTTAACGAACGGGTGACTAACTTAATACCTGCAGTGATTCACTTAACAACGGTGTCTGGAAAGAGGGTAACATGGGACACAACACTGATTTAACCAATTCCTCACTTAGCAACATACATTCTGGGCTCAATTACGGCCGTACCCTGAGGACGACCTGCATTCAAGAGAAGGCTGAGCCTTCTCTGGCTTTGAGGCCTGAAGGCCCTTCTCACCTTTTGCACCAGGTAAACGCTTGTGGCTCTCTCGCCCGCCACGTCATCTAGGGCGGTGCCTTCCGGGACGAAATAACTCACGTCTGCGATGTGTACCCCGACTTCGAAGTTCCCTGAAATGGGCAAAGAGAGAACATTCGTTATCCCGGCTGCTGCGGCACGCTGGGAGTTGAAGTCCACACATCTGAAAGTTGACAGGGGTGAAGAACACGGCGTGATATCACACAACCAGCTCGACTAGCATCGCTAGGAAACTATGTGGTCGGGCTTAGCTTTTGGGGGAGAAAAATAAGGGGGAGGGGATTTGTGCCTCTGCCTACCAGCATCCATTCGTGTTCCTCTGGCCGGTGTACTGTCAGTGTGTGTGAGAGAGTTGAGGGCTGTTTGGAAACTGAAGCCGTATTTGCTGTGTGAACAAGAAGGAGACAGCAAGGAGCCTCGGCGTGGCTTAGCTCAACTGTTCTGTACTAAAGCTGGTTGCGGCTGTGAAACTGAAACCGAAACTCCTCTCCTTTGCTTGTGTTTTGCATTTCTTTTCATGTGGGGAGGAGTAGAACTCCTTAGCATCAGAGCATGTTAATAATAATAATAATAATATAGGAAATATTAATGCTCTGATAGTCATATTTTCAGGGGATGCCATCCACCGGCTAACCTCACTTGCACGCGTCACCCCTTTTCACCGTCAGAGGCCTTCAGAAACTACTACTTCTACAGCCAGCAAGGCTTTCCTGAAGGCCTAGATAATGAAGCTTTGGATCGATCCAGAGCTTTGTTACCGACTACAGAGGCCTTCAGGAAAGCCTTGCCGGCCTTGCTGGCTACAGAAGAAATGGACTGGCAAGGCAGGTATCAGGGTGTGCGAAGCCTGGCTATAACTGTCCAAAGGTAAGTCTCAGGACTCCACCGTCGGATCTTGTTCATCCCCGGCCAGCGGGTCTATTGGCATCACGAGGTCAACACCGTCTGGGAGCCTCCAACCCAGCCCGGCGGGCTCGGTGGGTCTCCCGGCAGCAAGGAGGGTATCCCGAAAATTCCCCGAAGTTACTGAAGTCACGTGAGCCCTATCGTTGGTGGCGGGCTCTGAGGTAAGTCCTGCCACATTCGGAGCCTGACTATGGAGTGGACGAGATCTTAATTAGGGCTTATTTTTTGGGTGGGGGGGTAAGGCTTATATTGGGTGCACGTGTAAAAATCAAGCTAGGACTTACTTTCAGAGTAGGCCATATTTTCGGGGAACCGGTATTTATTCTGTCGTGTTTATGTAGTGTATGTTGGAGGCGGTGACCCTTTGAGAGCTGTATGCAATGAACATTTCATTTTTTTTTTAAATAAACTTTATTAGTTTTACTTTTTAAAAATCAACAGCAACACAGCTACAAATTATATACAACAAAAAGACGAACAGGTCTTGGCATAGGCCAAGAGGGAAAGAGAGGAAAGCTTGAGAGAGGAAAGAGGGAAAGGGAGGGGAAGGGGGGGGGGGGG